CCGCCCCGAGAGCATGAATTTCTTAAAAACAGATCCTGATTCATAGGATTCTCTACAAAAGAAGAGACAATGTTTGGTTTGACATCTGCTCAGTTCCAAGTAAATATGTATTGAATTAAGTAGAATTCAGAATGAGTACGTATGCTCTAATCATAAACTAGTTTACACTAGCCACTTTTTAAAAACAAAATTCAGAGTTTCCCCATCTTCTTGGAAAATGCATGATTCACTCTGCATTTTGATTGCCATCCAATTATCACATGAATGAAGGATGACACTCACCAAACATGATGTTGACAAAATGAAAAATACAAAAATATTATTTGGAAATCTGAGCAGCTTTTAAGTTTTCAACTTCTGCCTTTCTTCTATGAAGAGGTGTCTTTAATCTTGCTATTGAGAGGTCCCATGTATTCAGAGAAAAAGACAGATCAAAGATCTGAAAGATACATTTTAAAAGCTGTGCAGTTATCTTCACCTCTGAGACTTCCATCCTTCAAACAAATCATTAGCTCAGAGAGCAGGCAATATTCTTTTAAGCAGAGGAACATGACCCCCTAAGGGAATAGAGCAGTGAGAGCACTCAGGTCTCTAGATGAAATAGAACAGTGACTCACAAGCAGTCATCTCTCAGCTTTATACCTTTCAGAGGGAACACAGCAAATATAGTCACCTTCATACTATTCTAATCCTCTCAGATGCTGTTGTAATGATTTCATATTCTGCCTTCCTGCTCTAACAGTAAAGTAATAATAGATTTTCCTTCCAAATTTAGGGATTTAGAAGGAATTCAAATGTATTGCAGTTCAATAAAATTATTCAGCCTGAAGCAACTGAAATTGGTTGGCTCTGGAAGGCTTAAGAGCCTATGAATTTCTGCTGGTTTCTCCAGAATATAGTTTACATTCTTTACTAGAGCCATTATCTCTACAATCAAGGAGACATTTACTTTTTTGAATGAAAGGATAATCCATCTTGCCTTTTGGAGCCCACAGACCCAGATGTGGAACAACGATCCAGAAGCAAAAGATTTCCTCATTTAACATAATAGCAGTGTTAACCTAGAAGCGTTATTATGGCCATTTAAATGACACCATTATGTACCACTTTATTGATAACAATTATATCAGTAGCATGGTTTTAATGCAATTTCTTATTGTAGCCAAATGTAAATTATATCAGAGAAATAGGATGCAAATCCTGAGTATAGAAATAGATTTTAAAAAAGAAAACCCCACTGGCGGTTCACATTTGAAGACATTATTTTCTACAAATTGGCATGTAAAGGTTTCCTTGAGTGGCAAAGATAGCATCCTAGTCTTAGAAATCATTTAGTACTCTTCAAAGAAAACAACTGGAATCATGACTTTGTATCACACCCCTTAGTTTATGTTGACTTGTTGGGCCATGGGTTTTTTAAGGTCAAAGCATATTTTCCTACCTTGTGGCTTGCTTACAATTTTCATTCATAAACTCAATCCTTTTAAAGAATGTGAAGAAGTCAGCTCAGTGCCCATAGCACAGTGGTTACAGCACCCGCCATATACACCAAAGTTGGAGGGTTAGAACCCAGCCTAGGTCAGCTACAACAATGACAATTGCAACAAAAAAATAGCCAGGTGTTTGGTGGGCGTCTGTAGTCCCAGCTACTTGGGAGGCTAAAGCAAGAGAATCACTTAAGCCCAAGAGTTTGAGGTTGCTG